CCACCACATGGTAAACAATGTTTTTCCTATAGCAAATCGACCGTCAGCTAGCAACTCAGATGCTGTAACCAAAGGGCCCGAGAGTACCGTAGCAACTGAAACAGTCATTCTGTACAATTGGTGGAGAAAGGGCTACACAATCTGAGTAAATACTTAACGGAGGTCAAATCCAAGTTTAGCATCGATTCTCAAGTCTGCTCAACCTTCCAAGTTTAGTTGCATCATGCGAAATGCTACTTAAAACATCCTTCGCGTTCAGTTCTCGTCTAAACGAGAGACTTTGGGAACACCGCTCACAAATCGCTCAAATGCACATCAGAATAGGATGCATATAACTTCACCCATCGATCCTCGTGTTATCCAGTGCCGGAAAATCTAATCTGTCTAAGAGAAATTCCAAAAATTTTACCGTAACCTACTAAGAAAATGGGTAAAGACAATGAAGTCACCACGGGAAAATGGTTATTAGAGCATAGGAAGGCAATTCAACAGCGAATAGTACGTCAGTGCACCACTAAACACAATGTGGGAACCCTTCCCCAAAATGTGTACGAGAAAGAACTCCTGATTAAAGAGAAAGAGACATTGAACTATTAGAAGTCGGAAAATGTCTTTGACTCAGATCAGCAGACAAGGGATTTAGGTCAAGAGGAAGACGAAGATCTGAAGAGTAAACCCAGCGGACCTAAAGGGCTAAACAAAGTCTATCGCAACGCTATCATGTAGAAAAGGAATATTTAACTACTAACTATTTAAAGTTGCGGATGCAGACCTAAGTTTGAAACAGTAGTTAGCTGTTAAGGGTGGAAAATCATATGCGAACTTAAAAAATGCTGAGAGGTCTAAAGCATTAGTCTTTTTATTGTCTTATAGCACTCTGTGAGCGAAGAGAACAATCTTCTTGTATGCAGCGTTTGCTATTTAAGGAACTTTAGACGTTCTTCGTAGGAAATGTCCTGCCCTATATTATAAAGCACACATTTAGATGCTCGGCGTTGTACTTTCTCTAAGACTTTTAAGATTTTTTTGAGGTGTTGACACCAAACTGGAGAACTATTTTCTAGTATTGGACGTAGTAGATTCTTATAAAGTTGCGAAATCAACTCAGAACTACTGGGACCTACTGTTCGTGATATAAATCCGCGCACGCTATTTTCCCTATTGGCGTATTTGTTGGCTTGTAAGCGCTATGAAAGGTTTAGAGTAATGTGAATCCCAAGATCCTTGACTTCAGATACAGTTTCCAAGTGGTTGCCGCATAGATGATTTTGAGGACTTTTGTAGACACCAAAGAAAACGGAAGTCCATAATGAATAATCCCTCCGTAAAATAACTCGATGGTATCGACTTGTTAAGAAGTATTTTAGCCAAGATAAGTGTTGTCCTCGGATATCATGAGCGTGTATCTTTGACATAGGGCGTTCGTGAGGCACCTAGCCAAAAGCTTTTGAAAAATGTATGTTATGACATCAGTTGGCAACCCCTTCTTCCTCTCGAGCCCAATCGTGAAGCGAAGATAATTGTTGAGACAAGACTTCCTTTCCCAAGAGCCAAATTGCTCAGGAATAAAGACCTTATTAGTTATCAAATTCAATTCAGCGAAGTGACACACCTCAAATAACTTGTAGATAAAATGAAATCAGATAAACCAAAACCGGGCCATTGTTGAATTGTAGAAAATCACAACGAAAAGGAACGACTAATTACTGATAGAAGGAGGAAACGAAGGTAGTGATGATCATATCATTGCATGAGATAATAAGAACAGAAAAATCTTCTCAATGCTATTTAGATCATGAACTAGAATAACACAACTGTATTATGAATATGTTTAAAATTTTTCTAACAGACAATTAGTTTGTCAGTAAACACATCTGCTACACAGAAGTATTTTTTTTGCCCTTCATTTATACCTGTGTCTCACTTTAACAGCCCTAATAGGGATGATGGAATAGAAATTCTAAAGGCATGAATACCCACGATCACAAAACAACACAACAGGAGGGTAAGAGCCGTATACTAACCAACCACTGAGTGAACACAGGACCAACACGACGTACTGAGCTAATCAGAGCATTGGAAGACTGATATATCATAGTGGTGCATCATACTTCACAGGATGAAGCGTTCCAGTCACACAATAGCTGTGTTCTTTTGCGATACTTGATCATTTAAGTTAAGGTCAAATTGGGACTTTTCCCTTTTTACATTCACTCAGTGCGAAATTCTGTCCAAGGTACTCGTGTTTAAGAAAGACCGAACCTTTGTACTTTACGATTAGCTCTGAGTCATCGAGTGATCATAACTGTCTGACTTGCTTACCATGTGTGCGTGTGTATGTCTGTGGGAAATTTTTGTCTTGCTTTAGTGACCTTAGCAATGTTACTACATATTTATTACGAGTTAGTGCAAGTATCTTAGCAGCAGTGAATCTATGGGTTATGAATAACTTTAAGAGTTTGTCCACGAGAGGACCAGGCAGGCGTGACACATGTCATCTCACCGATTTCTCTCAAACTTTCACAGATGATTAAGGTCATAAAGTTATTCAAGAGTCCAAAGTAGTTTGGGCTCCCGGTTAATCCCTGGGGTACAAGGGCTTTCACATCAAATCCCAGGGATAAAACCCCGAAATTAGCCCTAACTTTTGTACTTCCAAAAAAGATCTCTCACACTAATAGAATGAGGTGGATTTTAATCTTATTTTATCCGACAATTGCTTGAACCTTAAGCAATGGAAGGTTCGAAGTTGGATTGATTTGAAGTTATTCTCGCCAGTTGAGAGCATTTCATAATTAACCATGTCACGCGACAATTTTAAGTGACCGAAAATTAGGCTTTTTTCATTGCAAATATCTCCAATGGGCAACGTTACATGTCGATCAACATGTGATCTCAGTAAAACCCAACATAGTGCTATGTTTCTGATGAAAAAAATTTTTGGCCTCTGTGAAATATTCGTGATCACATTCCTCCGAAGTGCGTGACAGGCAAAGTTAATTTAAGCACTTTGTGACCACAAGCTGCTGGTTAATGAGCTTTTTTAATTGCAAATATCTCCAATGGGCAACGTTACATGTCGATCAACATATGATCACAGTAAAACCCAATCATAGTGCTATGTTTCTGACGAAAAAAATTTTTGGCCTCTGTGAAATATTCGTGAGCACATTCCTCCGAAGTGCGTGACAGGCAAAGTTGATTTAGGCACTTTGTGACCACAAGCTGCTGGTTAATGAGCCGAATCAAATTGTGTAATGGTATATGTGATGCCAAATGTTTTGTTTTTCGGCTCTAAAAATATTAAAAGATGTTTAGTTGCATGGCTAAGGCGTTGAACTAATTGTACCAATTCGTAGATATTGACACAATTCACTGAGAGTTACTAGTAAATCTAATAACACCGATTCGTGTTTATATACTGAAAGTCAACAGCTGAAAGGAAAGTATGCCGAATATTTTTTGCACAATTTTTTCCTTTCATACTTCTTAAATTTATTTTCAAACATGGAGCGCGCTCAAAGTAATTTCTTTACAGAACAAAAAACAGCCGTCATGTAAATTTAGGTGTGTGGCGTGACACGTGTTTCTGTTACATGTACTTCAATGCATGAATTCAGAAATAAAATTCACTGAGCTCGAAAAAATAAAAGTCTCTCTTTGACAGGCAATCCATATTCGACTTAAGGTCAAGTTATTTTCGTTTACTGTACTAAAATCTAATTGCATGAGTATTTTTCTGAAATCAGGTTAATCTAAACACCATCGCCATGAAAAGTAAACAAAGATGAAAGAAAGCACGTAGTCAGTTTCCTTGCCACTTTTTGCTTGTATTCATCATAATTTTCTCTATTTCTATTCAACTATGATGTGGCAACTAGAGTGATTTTACTAGACCCGTGAAACTGTAGTAACTGCACTATTAGTTAGTATTACGCACTACTTCTATTGTTTTCTTTTATTTAGTTTTGACTACTACGCACTTACTGTTAGATACTATTTCACGGTAAATTATTATCTTCGCGACATAATCAATCCTTTAAATTACGTTTTCTGGTATTATTTACCAATCCGAGAATGACAAAAAACAATTATTCACGTTAGGACTGGAGCTGGCCTCTTATATGTATTTAATGGACATAAGTGCTAAGCTCATTTCCACGTTTCACTGCAGTTACAATTGAATTCGCATTGCTATATATGTTATGTGGTAAGGGGTTGCTAGTAGCGTTGTGGTACTCAAATGTAGAGGGTTTTGCTTTCCACTGTTTACCAGGCTCCTCGCCAGACATTATAGACAGTACTTTTTACCTCATGGTATTTACATGGAAAGAGTATGTGTTTACATTAGCCTGATTGAAGGATCTCTACCTCGAAAACAATCATGCAATCAGACTTTACAAAGGTAAAATAAAATAAGTTTATTTAAAGTAGAATGTGGATTGACTTCCAAGAAAGACTTTTATCGTGGTCTGGGAATTTCATCTCTGAATTCATGCAAGTACATGTGACGGGAGCACGTGTCACGCTCTTGCTCTCGATTGGCGAGAATAATTTCAAATCAATCCAACTTTGAACCTTCTACTGCTTAAGGTTCAAACAATTTTTGGATAAAATGAGATTAAAATCCACTGCATTCAATCAGTGTGGGAGATCTTTTTTGAAAGTACAATGTTAGGGCTAATTTCGGGGTTTTATCCCTGGGATTTGATGTGAAAGCCCTTGTACCCCAGGGATTAACCGGGAGCCCAAACTACTTTGGACTCTTGAATAACTTTATGACCTTAATCGTCTGTGAAAGTTTGAGAGAAATCGATGAGATGGCATGTGTCACGCCTGCCCGGTCCTCCAGTGGACAGACTCTTAAGTAGCCGACCAATTTTGCGGTTTAAGCTACTACGTTTTTATTATACCACATTCTTACCCCAAATAGAAACCAACCGCTGACTCTCATTCCTCGATACCCTTTAAAAGAAATCCACAAAGTACTTGTCATTGTCAAAGATGGCGGACCCTCGAGGAAGGAAGCGGAAGAAAGAGAAGCGTGACGAATTCCTCCATATTCAAGCTAAAGGACAGTACTTGAAAATACCGAAAGGTCAGGAGTGGGATGAGAAAGACCCTTCAACAGTTGGAGGTAAGTTGAATATGGTAGCAGTTAGTATTTTCAAAATGATTATCACTTGCTGAGATACAACATGTTAATAGAATGGTAAAACACACTCTCAGACACTTGTCCTGTCTGGTACATCAAGATAGCTTTCATTTTTGACGAGGTACCAAGCACTAATTCTTGCATCTGGAAGATCTGTGGTAACGTAAACTCCAAATTTTGTTCACAAAATTTCCTGAAGAATTGGTCATCGCTCATTTTCCTAGAAAAAAAACCTTGACCAGTGGGTCGAGGTAAATTTGTGCACCTTATGTTGGAACAACTTCCTCTTCAAAGCACTTTCTTATGCATTGTAAAACTAGAGAAATACAATGTTCAAACTTTTTGGCCCAGCATGGGAATCAATTGGCCATCATGCATAATACGATTGCAAATCATCACAAGTCTCGAGAAAAAAGAGACAAAACAAAAGCAGTACAAATGCAATGGGTTTACAAAATCTGCTTATGAATGGCTTGTCAAAATAAATTTCATTTTCATTCAGAGCTTTGCCAGAGGAACTCTTTCTCATTGGTCACTTATCTTTGACCTATCAAAAGTGTGCAATGTCTCTCTTTGTCTCATGCAGAAGAAGTAGAATACCAGGTAGTAGAAGGCTTGCTGTATTAAACAAAATTGTGAAGTTTGATCAAATTATCTGTGAAGTTAAGACCCTATATGTAGGGTAGGGAGTCTACCTTGAGTAGGATCCTGTTACCTGATAATTTTCCCCATTAAGTATCTGCATGGTTTTTTGCTTCAATATCCAGCATGCTAATAAGTCCTGATAAAGCATCTGTGGTCTTATCTTTTAAGGTGACAGCTTAATTTTTCCTGTGAAGTTTGTCAGTTGAATTTTGGAAGTTGGTTCTTTTAAGTGATATTTCTCAATTCTCACCATTTAAAATTCTCAAACTATTTTATGTGTTTATACAACAAAGTGTATCATAATTAAGGGGGAAAAATGTTACTTAATGGGTTTCTTAAATGTATGTATAACAATATTAAACATTTTGTGTAAGGGAGGATTATGAGGTAAATTGGAACAGGCAATTTTATTTCTCTTTAGGAATGATAATAGTCCAGGTAAACAAATAGTCTATAGGTTTATAGGTGTGTGATTATTATCCCAATATATCTGCTGGATAACCATTGATTTGTTGGATAGGGCTACCTTCCATTTTAAAAACCGGGCTGTAGTAGATTTATTCTTTTTTTTTACTTTCTTATGCAACAAAAACTCAGAATGCCCTTTCTATATCAGATCTTGTTCAGTGTTCAATGCATAGTTACAGTGTATCTATTGGGCCTAGTTTGGAAAAAATAACTTCACAGTCCACTATTTTGAAGGGAATTTCCTGTGCCATGATAAGTATAGGAATAAGCAAATCATTGGGCAAGTTTTTGTGATAATACATTTTTTGTACAAACCATCCTTATTTCAGTCTCTAATCACAAAATAGGATTTTTTGCCAGGAACGTTTACCTGCTTTGTCCTTTTCCTGTGTTTCTGGTTTAGGAAAACTTTCATGTTCCATCTCGCCCATTTAATTACTAACAATAATTTAATATGCCTTAGTTTTTAAGATACAATGTTTATTCACAAGAATTGAATGTTAGCTCAGTATTTTTACACAAATTAGTACCTGACTACACTTGGTTATATTACTTAGGGAAGGAGAAAACAAGAAAGTCACCAAGCAGAAGAGATAAAAGACAGCAGGCAAGAGTTCAGAAGAAGGCAAGAAAGGCAGCTTTTTTCTCCAATAAGAAAGGGAAGGTATGTATGATCTTTTTGAGCAAAAGTTGATGTAGATGTTGCTTTTCAACTTCATCCTTTATTCACTTTTTCTGAGTTTACTTCATAACCACACCACACCAAATTGAAAACAATGACAAAGAAAAATAAATTATTGAACTAATCTGACAAAAGCTTGGCAGATAAAAAGAAACTTGAACTTTGTTTTCTAGACTATGAAAATGTTGAGTGGTGGATGCATCAGAAACAAGCCAAAGGAAGGCAGTGATTTAACAGAGAAACCTACAGGGACCAAGCTTTCCATGGTCTCAAAGAAGAAGAGGAAAAGAAAGAGAACTAAGGCATGTTTTATATGTGGCTGTTGGCCTCAGTTGTTTATGAAGGATGTATAACAGTATTAGTTACACCAATGGTTATCCTATGAATGAGAGTAAAAGAAATCCAACTGCATTAGGCAGTAAATGGTGTTGTGCCTCCTTTGAACAGGCAGGGTATGCAGGGAAATATTTAATGTTGGGGTTTGTTTGATAAGGATCAAGAAGAGGAAATAAAAGCTATCATCATGTCATTAAAGCATATAAAAATGTAAACAGTATGCATTAGGTGTCTGATCATGGTTTTCCTTTGCCCTTTTTAATCCTGGAAACCTTTGTGCTAAATATCTCTATCCTCCTCTTCTTAAAAGAGTAGCATTTCAGAGGTATGCTCCAGCAACCATCCAATTTTTTATCTTTGCCATCTAGAAGTATAATTATGTGAAAATTGAATACTCCATGGTTGTTGAGATTCCATAGAGTAAACTAAGATTTTGAAAATTGTCTTCCAGTGTGTCCAGAATTTAACTATGGATGCTGCAATTGTGAAAACAATTTTTTCAGTTACTGGGCTGCATGTGAAAGACTTTTTAAAAACTGATTAAGAAAAAGGCCCCTGTTTATTACAGAAAAAGAAGCATTATTTGAGTTACAACTCTTTTATATTGTTATCCAGATAAATTGTAAAGCATTAGAAGAAAGGAAATTGAGACTGTGTAGCATGGCATGTAATGTATGTGACTGAGTCTTTAAGCAATATGCAAAATAGTGTTGTCCATAGTAGAATTTTTAAAGAAGAAAAAAGGTGGGGTAATTTATAGGATTTCAGCTAGTGTCTGGGTTGTAATAACTACTTGGGTTGTTTTTGTTGGCAGAGATGAACATTGTATGTTTCCAGGAGCATGTATATCCTTAAAATTATGTTTCATGATATTTTGTTGCATGTTTTTCCTGAACAAGGAGCTATCAGTCAACAACCACATAGTGACCAGCAGTCTTTTATATTGCTCTAGTAAGAAGCATTCAGATCTTTTCTAACTAAAGATAGTTATATCATCTCTTATACAGGGTAAATTACAATCTAATAGCAAATAACAATACTACACAATGACATGCAAGAGAAGAGGTTATGTGGCCCCTTTTGGAATTTCCAATTGCCTTTTCATTAAATCATTTAGAAGGAATGATGAACATATCTCTAACTTCTGTAATGAACATGTATTTAGCACAGGCATCTAATAATCAATATTAAATGTAACTTAATGTCTGGGTTGACCAAAAGCTGAATTTGAAAATATTACATCATGCTGAAGGTAATAGAAATAGATTTCTTTATTATGCATCGGAACATTCATCAGGTAACTGGATGCAATGAATTTATTTCCAGAAAGTCACAGAAGAACAAGAATTCCTCAAACTGAGGCTTTTAGCAGAGAACAGGAAAGAGGACAAGGAGATAAAGAGGCTTGAAAAGCTTTTAAAACTTGGCAGTAAAGAGAAAGTTACCTGTAAGAAATTCAAAGCAGATGGTCTTGATTGTATCTTTTTGTTATATACTACAAGTTTTGTAATATGTAGTTCCCCTTTAGTTGTTGGGTGCAGGTTTCAGACCTGACTGGGTCATTTTGTTATGTTCTTAGACAAGAAATTTTACTCTGACTGCTTCTTTCCACCCAGGAGTATAAATTGGTATCAGTAAACCATCAGGAAAGCCTGATAGTGTACTGGGAGGAAACTTGCAATAGCTGACACACATACTCCTAATTCCCTCTAGTTATGGGAATGTCAGTTATTAGTTGTCGTGGATGAAGTTAATGACTATGGTTTTCAGTTATTTTGATTCAGAAAGCTTGGTGAATTGACTAGTTAGATTATGGGTGAAACCCATATAAATTATCTTGTATAGGCATGAAGCAAGATTGAATAATCTGATTTTTCTAGAATAAACCTGATAGTCTTCCAAAAGTAAACAATACGACAGGTTAGTGGTGGTGTCACTTTATTTAATTTACTAACACTGTATGGCTATCCATCATACTCCTTGCCTAACACAGAATAGATAGTGAGTTCCATAGCCAATCAGATTGCAGCAATCATGATAGAATGGTAATAGATTTAATGTGGTTATTATCAATTATTGGATGATATTGCTCTGCCAGAGCAGAAGGCTTAGATTGATATCACAAACTGAGGCCTGGATAATTCTGGCTATCAATTTTATCCTCATCCAAAAATAGACAAAGCTGTACAGGTGTAGGTCTATGATGCCGTCTGGCCTTTCATCTCTCAGATACAACCATAACAATGTAGCTCTATGGGATTACACGAGTGGGGCCTGACAGGGCATATTATATTTGACCATATTAACTTTGCCATTTCTTTCCAAACATTTGGATGTGGCTATGTTGTTGTCTTGACATATCTGACACTAGATTTATTAGAAGTTTGTGAGCATCAGCAAAAGGAACATGACATAGAAAGTGGTGAAGGTTTGGAGTCAAGAGATGAAATGTTTTCCAGGGAGGTAATTCTTGACATTTACAAATATTTCAAGCTGTCTAGGAGTAATTTTCCAAAAATGTTTTCATTCTTTATTTATATTTTGCATAATCAGGTAAAACATAGTGACATCATGGGCATTGATGGAAATCCTAAACAAAACATGAGTGAAAGTGCACAGCATGACAGTGATGATAGCTATGCTGATTCTCAACTTAATGATGATGATGATGATGACATTGGTCACAATGTTATTGATGATGATGAATGCAATGATAGTGATTCCAGCTATGGTGATGATATTGAAACCAAACATTACAGTGGAGGTAGTGATGACAGTGGTCATGGCAATAATGATGATGGTGAGGGATGTGAAGAGGGGGATTATAGCACTGATAAGAGAGACTTTATAGAGACATTTGAAAATGACAAAGATATTTACTTTGAAGAGGAGGACAGTGGCAGCAAAGCTAACAGTTGCAAACAAACAGATGACTTTAAAAAATATGTTCCACCCCATTTGAGAAACAAGAACTTGTCACAGACCCAAAATGAACACTTGCACAGACTATCATGTCAGATTAAAGGTCTACTGAATAGGTGAGAGGTACATTCACAATGTAAATACTCTTAAATTACCCGCAGTGTGATGTAGTTACTCCAGAAGGCTTTCTAAAATACTTTTTTGTGGAAGACTCATGAATAGAACACAAAACACAATTTTCAGTTCCACAAAGAGGTTATTAGATCCAATGTAACTCAAATGCATGCAACTAAGATAGCCATTGTTTCAAATTGTGATCAACTTCATGAGTCAGCTGTATTTTTTTTGTTACAAATAGCTGTGATTTTGCGTGAACATGAAATAATGTCACTTGATTTGCATTAAATACTTGTTGGAATTTATATATTTTTATTTATGACAGGCTGAATGAGGGAAATATGTCAATTATTAGTAAAGAGATTGAACAAATTTACATGCAAAACAGTCGAAATGGTATGTTAACACTTTTATTTCCTAATGTAACAAGTGCTACTTGGAATTTTCCAAGTAGTAAAAACTGTAATCAGATGTACTAATAATATAACAACATGTTAAAAGTAAGGTTAAAGGCCCAAAAAAAGGGGCTTTAAAAGTTCTAACAGTTCTGTGTGACTCTGGTGGCAGATTCCACTAGGAAATGTCTGTAAGTTGTGGTGTTGACCTTAGGTTTTAGTTTCAGTTTTAGAATGTCAGTTCCCCTCAGATCATATCTGGTGTTTTTTATATGTAGTAACTTTTTCATGCCTTTAGGAGCTAAAATCGTAATTAATAGCTTTTAAACCTATACAAACTGTGTTTGCAAGTCTTTGATTAGTCAATGATAGTTAGCCTATCTTATTGCGTAGTTCCTGGTAGTGCGTTCATTTTTCATTAGAAAGAATCAGAGCACACATTTGCTTACTTTTTCCAGTATGGCACTGGCACTATTACTGCAGAAGTGCCAGGTCTCAAAGCAATAGTTTAAATGGGAAGGATGAAAGCAGAATTTATGTATTTTTTTTGTTTCAAAGGGTGACAAATGTTTTCATATGCTTAAGAATGGCAACTTGCTGAGAGACTTTTCTGCACACTTTGGCTTCATGCTTTTCAAATTTTAGTTTGTCATCTATCATTACTCTAAGCATTTCAAAATCTTTGCTGATGTGAATTTCAGTGTTTCCAAAAAAAAAAACAAAATGAGGCGTGGTTTGGGTCTTTCCCATGACAATTGGTAACTTTGTGGGGTTTATTCTCATACTATTTCTCATTTTAAATTTTCATGGCCTCTTTGTTGGCATAAAATATCTGGGTGTCATCTCCATAGGCAGAAAAACTGCTTTGCTTGATGACCTCTAACCTACCATGTTTTACCTAAATTAACCTCAAATCAATTAAAATAACATTACATTTTGGCATTAGATGATAGAAAAAATAGAGGACTGTCAGGCTAAATGCAAAAATATACAAACACCTGGTTACTCATGTAATAATCTGATATACCCAAAGATGGGTAATTTGTTTTTTTTATGAATGCCAAATTAAGGAACATTTTAATCATCAATAAAAAGATTACATTTTTTCAAAAAAACTTGCTGTGAATTGTTTACCAAAGTTTAATTTGTGATAGCTAAAACAATGTCACAAGAAGAGCAAATGTGGCATCAAGTAAACACAATTGTGCTCTACTCTAGCAGGAGACCTCTAAAGACCTACCATAGAAACCTTCTTCCCATGTTCCACACTTCCCTGACCTTGCACACATTGTTGCTACTTGCTAATAAAAATGCCTTGACATAAACCTTGAACTAGGGCTAGAAATTGATGTTGTCATTTTTCTATTTACCTGAGTGTTTACAAAGCTGGCTAAAATATTTCTTTTTTCCTCTTAGATATTAACAAGATCCTAAGTAATCTTATTCTGGCCTCATGTGTTTCTGCATCCATGATGCCTGACAAACTTTTGATGGAGCATATCATGTTGTTGGCAATTCTTTCAAGTCATGTTGGAATTGATGTAGGTAAGGTTTCTTTTATCTGCCGTGAAACTTCTTGATGAACATTAATATAGGGTGCCTTGGAATTCTGGAACCTATCAGGTGAAATGTGATTTTAAAGGACTAGCATTTTCCCATGGAGCTGCATACTTTTGTCTGTGTGTGTGTGTGTGTGTGTGTCTTTTGAACACCAGGGATTCAATAAACATTATCACATCACTTGCTAGTGGTTTACATTGTTGGCTTGATAAGCTTAAAGAGTATTGGAAGGTGAAATTTGAACATTTGGCTCCTCTGATGAACAAGTACGATATGTAGAATTGACTTTCCCTGAGCTTCACTTGGGACAAACTAAACTGAGATGAAATTAAGTTCATGTTAAATTTGAATTAGTTGAGTACATCCAACTGAATTTGGATCCACCAACATTCTCTGTGTCTGCTTCAAACAGATAAAACATGTGAAGATAGAGTGGGGACAAATGTCACTCTTTTCAATATTGAACTTAATAAATAAATTACAAATTGCCTTATTTGAAATCCTGCTGACTGGAAGACACCCTTTTGCTGCCCTGAATTTGGTTTCATGTATTCTCTGTCAACCAAAATTACAATTTAGTCATTGCATGTGGAGTTCGATGTGTGAACTGGGCCCTAGATACTTCCCTAGAGAAAAGCTCCATGTGTAGCTTGTTTTGAATTATTCAAGAAACCAATCGCAAAATTTAAAATGGAGTTTTACATATGACACACAGTCATCTTTTATTGTTGTTAATGTAGTCACAAACAAGTGTTGATAGGACTAGTTGTGCTTGACCATTAAGACATTTTACTAAGTCATATGTTTTCTGTAGGTGACAATTATTTTCATATTGGTTATTAAATCTTTCTTTTGGTGTTTATTTCAAGCTGCTTTCTTCATTGAGCGACTGGCAGAATTGTTTGATAAACTGCACAAGAGCAACAAAGACAGTTTTGGACAGGGGAAAGAGTGTTATAATGTTATAGCTCTGTTTTCACATCTGTGCAACTTTAAAGTATGTGTACTTTTTGTTAAATAATGTATTTTTGTAATTGCAGTAATGCTTGGGAAAGTGAAAGAACATAAAGCACATCAACAGGCTTAAATTTAATCATTTGTTTAGAAGGTAGAAATCCAGTGTACTAAGGAAAATATGACAAAGGAAATAGACCTCTCTTGCTCTTCATGTAATAACAAATAGTTTTACTGACAGAGATTTGAAGTGTTGTTACATGAATATATTGCTAAATGTTTTACCTTGCTTTTGTTTGACCATTTGTTCTGCCTTCTTCCATTCCTTCACAGGTTACTCACTGCTGTCTCATTTATGACATCATTCAAAGGCTAGTGAATTCCTTCGGTGAAAGAGATATTGAACTACTTCTACTGCTTCTGAAATGTAAGCAAGAGAATTATGATAAATTACAATAAGAAGGGATTTCTGTTATCCTTTCTCTGATAGAGGTGGTCATCTTTTTCAAATTTGGTGGGACACATTGATTTCTCTTATTGGAAATTTTAAAAGTTGTGTTTGATTAATTTCCCTTTTTGGCTTTTTTCGTCTGAATGTTCATTTAATATGTCTTAAAATCCTACCAAGTTAATATTTTCATGTTCTGGTTATATCCCACTGTAACAGTAGTAAACAGTCACAAATTGAGTACAAATTACGGACTCTATTTTTGGTTGGTATCAGCAAAAGATTAAGTGATATTCTCAAAAAATCTAAAAATAAAAAGGAAGGAGTGACAGTGTTACATGTAGGTAATTTAGTGTTAACAACTGGGTTGAAAACGTAAATTAGCCACCGTAAAGGGTAAAAAGCTGACGTTTCGAGCGTTAGCCCTTCGTCAGAGCGATAGATAGTGTTACATGTAGCTTGGTCGATTCATGTCATAATGAACTTTAGGAAAAACTCCAGAATAAATGTAATAAGATTTGTTGATTGCTTATGATCTGACAAATGTACTTCAAGAATTTTTTTTTCACATTGCCTTTCGCTATTTTTGAATGAAAGTTAATTTACAGCATTCATATTTTTCTCAATGTTACCCTCAATCATTTGATGGATGGTCCTGATCTTATAGTCTATTATTATTTCATTTTAATAGTAGTTGGAGCAGAAATCAGAAGAGGTGATCCATCAGCATTGAAGGTGATAATTTCAGTACAATTACCCATTCATGTAATCATAACTACCAGTATGTCAATGCCATTAGTGCATATGGAGAGGAATTGAGGAAAGGAACTGTCAGATCACCATTATCATTATCGTCTTAAACCACTGATTTGATTCTGTGTCATTTCAATACATACTAGTTGCAGCAAATGAAGAACTCGTACTTCTGAAGCTATGACAATCAGATGTAGGCTCCCTTGAGTAATTAAAGATATAAGTGATTTGATTTTTAAAATGATTGTTTGACAACCTTCTTGATAAAGAATGAGTCGTGTCTAACATCAATAAAGAATTGGTCCATTCTTAGCATGCATATATTGAGTTATGGATGCACACAGGGAGTTTGGAAAGTACAAGAGAAGCATAGGAGTTGCTTGAGGGGCAGCCAAGAGCAACTCTAGCTTCTAGCTTAGTACTCTCTAAACTTCCCAAGTGCATCTATGACTCAATATAGTTACAGCTGAGGCATAAACCAATTCTTTTGTAAAATACAGTAGCATACAGACACAAGTTGTGCTCAAAAAAGACGAGTCTATAACCAATTTCTAAATCTTTACTCAAAGAATTGTAAATTTTCTGCTCTGAGGCAAAAAAGAAGGAATTTCTTGCTTGTACAAGACTGCACAGTAGATTCAACAAGCTTGAATTGTTGTTTATTAGAATTCACAATAAAAAAAATTGCATAGGTTTGCCTTGAAAATTTTGAAAATTCTCAAATTGTACTATTTTAAAATTAAAATCTATTGAACGATAGTTTTAGGAAATATCAACACTTAAAAATAATATTGACTGTTCGAAAAATGAAGCAAAAAGACTTTCACAAATCTTGTATTTACAGACCTGTGTGGTGATTAACTCTGCTTGAATAGTTGTCTACCAGAAGTTACAGCCAGAGAATTGCAAAGCTTTGTGTTGAAAATTTTGAAAATTGTATGATTTTAATTCAGAATCTGCTATTGAACAAAACTTTTGGAAATATCAAGACTTCAAAATAATATTTACCACTACCTAATGTCCCAAAGCTTTAGTTGAAGTCAGAAAAACTCAGTTTTGTTTTTCAGCCATAATTCCCATCGCATTTGGGGTTGAAGTTTCTCAACTCTAAAATTAATTTTGTTGCTTGAAAGAGCTACTTGCTCATTGTTTTTGAAACTAGTAATGGGCTAAAACTCCCTGGGCACTTTCAGCCCAATTGAAATCGCACTTGTCATGTGATGGATGCATAGCGATGGGGTACATAAGGATTTTTACCTAGTAGGTAGCTGCTTAGGAAATAGGTAGGCCTTGCACACATGCTATGTTATAACAACAATTGGTAAAAAAAACAGCAGACTTTTTTATCTTGCTTCAGGGTGAGAGTTGAAAAAGTTATACAGTATTTCACCAGTAATAACTAATAATTTGAACAGTAACGACAGTATTTTGAGAGATTTTTTTAGAGAGATTTGCTTGAATATGTAAGTCCATCCAACAGACGGGTTATGCAGAGCAGTGAGAGCTTTAGTATTTTATCTTCTATAATGTTATTGGTGCGCCTCAGAAAACTGCATACACCACTCTAACCAATTCCACTCTAACCTGAATTCTAAATTTTAAACTGGGTGCTTGATTGCTGTTGTTCACAAATGACTGTGTTGATATATAAATTAATAAACTCAATGTTTTTCATTTTTTGCTATTTTCAGTGGGAGTTTATTTATGAACTTTTGATTTTTATCCTTTGTAGGAAATTATACTCCAAATTCAAGCAAAGGCAACTTCCACACCAATCTTGTCTAGTGAGTAAGTATGCAACCCTGTTCCTTTAAACAGTAAACTGACAAATGTAAATTCCAACTGCAAGCAAATTGTGTCAGGCAGGCTTAAATCTGTCAGGGCACATCTTTAATGTCTGATATTGTGTGATTTGTAATGTGTAGTAGCAAAAATAAATGTGCAGCTTTGAAGAGTCTTTGACTTTCAAATGAACGGAAAATGGTACAAATGAAGGAACAAAATACTGATTGATTTTTGTTTATAAGGTTTTGCTATCATGGATAAATAATAACTTGCACAAGTTACATGATGCACTGTGTAGGCCATCATAACTTTGGATTCATCCCTTAACCCTTTAACTCCCATGAGTGACCAAGACATAATTTCTCCTCACAATATCCATGCATTATCAAGCAGACAAGTGATGAGAATAAAGAGAAATATCAATTAGGGGATTAGTAGTTGATCCAATAACAAATTCTTGGAACTAAAATCATAGGAATTGTATGGCAGTCATTAAGGAGAATTGCAAATGAGATCTTGGGAGTTCAAGGGTTAATGAACTGAAAAAATTCAGGGTCAAGCAAAGAAATGTTTTGGAAGTCGGTCATATTCAGCCATTACTAATGAGCTAATTTGGCATTAGGTTCTCCATCTAATCAGTTGTATATGGGTATGTATCTTGTGATTTTAAATTGTTATTGGACATAAACATAGTGCAAATCTCAATGGCCAAATGAAAGACATGTGCATTAAAGGGCAAACTGTCAGCAAGCACTCTCCATGTTGTCCCTGGATCCTTCCTTGCTAAAACAAAGAGCTAAGGAATTGCTGCAAAATTAAGAAAAGATTGTGAAGGAACTGTGCACCCACATGGACAGAATAGTTGAGAGACTGATACTAAGGTGACTGTTTTTGTAATGGGGTTATAAGTGAGCAACTAAGCAAAGATGAACTATGGTTGGTCTCGATGTACATGTACTGTAACACCGAAACAGAATAGGGGCCCTTATCTGAATATGGACACTTATTGCAATGAGGGTGCTAACTCAATTGGGCTGCTTATTAGAATAGGGGCACTGTTGTGGTGCAATCTAACCAACAGAAAGTACACTGTACCTTAATAAACTCAACTACTTTATTAAACAACTTGTGATATTCTTAGGGTTATTAACAAAAACAAATTTGGGGGGGGGGCACTTATTGGAAGGAGGGTGCTGAATCAAATCTTTATGGTACCTATAAATTGTTCTCTACAACCGAATTTAGCAAAGTAGGTCTTCATGTTATGGGTTAGTAAAAGAATGACTTGTATATATTTTTTGGTGCCTTTTTGCCTTATTAATACATTTAAGTTTAGTCAGCTTTGATGTCAGATACCTGTCAGGTTATGTTACCTTGCAAATGAAGTGGATCTGTGAGATCATTGTAAAGCAAGTAACTTGAAGACAGACTTTTTACTCCATCACAAACCACTAGCCTTGTATTCAGTCCTATTTTGAGAGCATGTGACCATTGGTGTTTTATAGCACAGTCAAACCCTTGAATAGATAGATAAATGAATATTCCCTACTGCTGACTATGTGTGGCTACCCACACAAAAATTAGCTCAGTTTTAACAATCCAGGCTGAATAGAAATATGGGTAATTCTGGTATAAGTGTGAATTGTAAGTGAGGTTTTTACCAAATATGTGCCAGTTTTACAATAAATGAACAAACCTAAGTTTCAGACTTGGCCTGGTATCAATACCTGTTTAAAGTACATCAGTACTTTATATTAAGAGGATGTTTGGAGACAAATATCAAGCCCAAATGAGTGGAGAACAAGAACAACATATGTTGATTTCCAAAGCTAATAAGTTGTTCTGTGATATAATAAACTAGTCATATGTGCCTACATGTGCTTGGCCTGTTTAGCTGATCAATTTTCATTTTCTAGTTCCAGAGTTTGCTTCATGTTGGAAATAATTGCCAAGCTACGCAACAACAATTTAAGAAAGATACCAGGCTATGATTCTTCACAAATAGAACACCTTAGAAAAACTCTTCATTCATTAATCAGAGAGTCAGGTATTATTTGTAATTTTTTATGAGTTTTGGAGTACCAAAAATAAATGAAGTGAAAAGCTTAATTAAAGAATTGTAGAAAACAATTTAAAAGTTAATGTGAACTCAAAGGGGTACAAAATTCATTATGAACCTTGGGAATACAGAAGTGTGATGCATTTTTTTTTTAATTAGAAAGACCAAATAATGGTTCTTACAGGTCAATGAATTTCTAGGCATAATCAGAGAATTATAGAAAATAAAACTTATGGTAAAACATGTTTAAAGGAGTAGTTTTGTACTTTACAACAATTATTTAAGAGCTGCAACTTATGTGAGGAAACCCAAGACAACATAAATTGCAATACAGGGTTCCCATGTTATTGCAAGTTCACTGTGTTAGCAAATATATTAAAAATACTCTTTGGTAATCTCTTGATTGAAAGTAATGCTGTATGTGACATTCCACCTTTCAGCCAATCTTACAATTCCTTACAAATCTAACAGATATGTAAAATGCTTCCCTGTAACACTTACTCAAAACATTGTTAGTTACAACAACTTGTAAGCAAATCAACTTTGATGTGGATTTCTTCTATTTAAGGATGTCTAGTCTCCAATCAGCTCAGAGTTAGTCTACAAGACTTGCTGAACATCAAATTGAAAGGTGAGTAATAAAGAATGACCACATTATTACAAAGAAACTACATGCATGCCATGAGCTAACATATGAAATAAAGATTTTGGTTTTCCTTTTCTTGTATGTTTCATGCAAAACATATAATAATCTTTGCTGATTTTCATTTTCTCATCAATTACATTTTGAGATCACATAGTACACTTATGACATGTTTTCCCTCATTATAAAGTTCTATTCAAAATGTCTGAAATGACCTCATTTCAATAAATGAACCGATGCCATTTATTCTATTCCTTGCGATGACTGTGACGACGAACACATCGGGCAGACCAAACATCAGTTTGGTACACATTTGAAAGAGCATCAAAAAGCTGGGTTTTTTTTGCAAAAAAGAAAATTCAGCTTTACTGGAGCACACATGCCTAATCAACCATACAGTTGGGTGGGATAAGTCTAAAATTATCACCACTAATTGGAGTTACCACCAGTGCCTTTGTTTGGAAGCTTGGCATATGAACTCCACCCATGCTCCTTTAAATCATGATGATGGCGGTTTACTTCCTAATGCCTATTTACACCTCGTCAGAAAAAAAGAGAAAAAAAAAGGCAGCTAATTAGTGATCATATAAAAGGACCTCTTGTTGCAACATTTAGTTCACCTGATGAAGGCACTAGACAGGAGTGTCAAAACGTTGGGTCTATGAATTGTAACTTCTTCAATTACATTCATCAAATCTGTAAACCAGAGTAGCATTAAACCATGTCTGATTGTCCACCTGGTTGCCATGTGAACTTTAATACATTCTGTTTCAACTAATTGTTAACTCTGTAGCTATTACTTACATTGCACAATTCACTTTGTATTGGTGAAGTAAACACTAAAAAGGATCCTTTAGGTATCTACTTGATACAGGAATTACTATATTTTCAACTCAGTGTTCTAAACCTTTTTGGAAGAAAATATAAACACAAATTTTTAACTATAGTGCAATGATATAGAAGAGCAGACATCTTGAAGCAGTGCTCTCAATAAGACTCGGCACCCACCAGAGCTCTGGTGGGTATTCTGTTGACAATCGCTGGGTATACTTTGCCATGTTCAAGTCAAATTTTCAGAACAAATAGATAAATAGATAAATAACATAGAAAGTAATTATAGTCAATTTAGTATTGGAGGCCATGTATTCACCTCATTTATTTTTCAAATTCTGTGGTCTTTGATTGTTAGATTCATTCTTTCACCAGTGGTTTTCTTTTTCTGCTTGTTAAGTGTGTTCTACATAAATTCATTATAAGGGAGGTAGGAGTACACATCATCTTAAAATACATATTGAAGTGCATTGAGTATACATTGGCTCAAAATAATTTGCAAGCAACTTTGTGCTTAACTAAAATTATCAATATTTTTGGACAAACAACAGTTCTCAACTCCTAGTTCAAAAACAAACTTGAAAATCAAATTTATCAAAGTAGTGTGTTTGCTGATAACAAGCATCAATCAAATTCAGAACTTTTAAGGAAAGATGTTTTAGAAGTTTGTATGGAGAACACTTAATCTAGGCTTAACTACAAAGAGAGGAACAAAAACAGCTATTGAACACCTAGCATCTAACCTTTATTAAAAAATAAGAGCTGCATTTGCTGTGAAAAGCAAAGAACTTCGTATGGTTACTGGTTTGCTAGAACATAGCCAAATAGGTGACTTTTCATTATTGTGTCTACTGCTTTGAAAAGCAGTAGGCACTATAGTCATCAAAAAAGCTGAGCACCTAAGTTAACAATAGAATCACTCCATAACTAATGAATCTGATGAGTGAACAATAGATAAAAAACCAATAAACAAATTCAGAAAGTTTCACTTGGACACAACAACCTTCCAACCAATCTTCATTTCTGTTGTGTAATGCTTGTATTTAGAAATGCCAGTGATGGATGGTGTTGGCATGGCCAACTTTAAAAAATTTTAAGCATATTTTCTGTTAGACCTGCAGCTCCAAATGGAAAAGAACAATGCTGCAGAATACTCTGCTTGGAAGAAATTGATACCAAAGTCCTAAAAGTGATAGAATAAGCTTTCAAGTCAACAACCCTTTGATTCACTAAATTGATGCGAATTATGGCCCAAAGGTAGATCCAAAGTGAGGCCTAGATTTGGCAAATCATGCTATAAGTACCTGGTAAAAAGTTAAATTCCACCATGTGCTTCTCCAAATATGATACAGTTCCTTGCAAAGACCTCCTTTTCTTGACTTACAGCTACAAATAAAATACTTTTGAAAGCTATAGTATGAAACATCTGCTTCATCCATGAATGTAAGGCCTTTCAAGGTGTGGAAGTAGCCCAATCTACAAGAATAAAAGAATTACCTGTAAATTGCTTATTATGATTACCTAGCATAAAAAGGTTTTCTGTTTGTGCCTTAATGCATCATTTATATCTTCATTGTCTCATGTCTGGTCTCACAGTGCATTTGCAACCTTTCAGTTATTTGGTAATTTAGTGTTAACATCTGAGTTGAAAATGTAAATTGGCCTCTGTAAGGAGTTCGATATGTCAGGTTTTTTACTCTTTACAGTGGCCAATTAGTCTCTTAGTGTAACCTAAAGACGCCCTAGAACCAACAAAACAAAAAAGTATAATTTACAAGATCGCATGTGAATGATGCAATGTGTATCTTGGTGAAACAGGGGGATCAATGCAAAGAGGATAAAAGAACATGACAGAGACAAACGGTTTGCTTGTGCTCAGACCTCTGCGGTTTCAGAGCATGCTAACAAAACAGGGCATATTCTCCTATTTGGAGCAAGGTTAGGTTTACAGATCGTGATCCTCATTGGTACACATGAAGGTCAGCCGATCAATGTGGACCTGTGAGGGAACACCATCAAACAACCAGAATAATAACAAGGATCCAAATGCACCAACAGCAGCAAACCAACATCCTTCAAATATTTTGCAACATGCATGAAAAAATGTTTACAAACAGCTTACTGTTCTACATGGGATGTTTTCTTTTGAGTGTTCTCTGGTATGACTTTGTGAAAAAACAAATATTTTCTGTCATCTGTAACAACCATAAATTGCTCTCTCATCTTAAATTGGATTTTAAACAAAGACTTACCATAGTGCATGTGAGGTTTGAAAATTGTAGAGTGTCCCTCAGTTTTGGCTGGGGAATATTTATAAATGTGATGGGTTTAGATCTATCATGTGCAAGCAAAAAAATTTGATGGATCATAGTCAAGAAAACACCCCCAGTGATATTCCCTAATTTTGAAACTCAATATCATTATACAATAAGTCTTGGTTTAAGATTAATTTAAGGTGAGAGTGTCTTTTGTGGTTGTTAAAAAGAAGGGAACATGTTTGTTTGTTCATAAAATCTTACCAAAGAACAATGAAAATTGAACATTCCATGTAGTTTTAGGTCAACTTTTTGTAGACACTTTTTCTGTTATTTGCAAAAATATCTGAAGGATAATAAACAAAATGGTTTCCATTTGGCATGGAAATATACTTTTTCATTGACAGTTTAAAGAGGAGATTACTCTGTGGAAGTTGCGGAGTTGGTTGCACAATTGCCATCAATGTTAAATAACCACTTTAAACCTGATAGCTTTTTCTTTTATGTGTGGTGTGTCATAGAAGCTTTCAAACAAACTAATGAAGTGAGACCCAAAACATCTTGAGATCTTTTAGAGGTTTACCTCAATTAACAAGTTTTTTCATACATGACATTTCCAGGAAAGAAATTGAGTTTCCAAGAACATATGGACTTAAATTCCAGTAATCAGTTACTTTATTTCCTTTTTGCGTGAAACTTGGGGAGCAGGTTTCCATGTCAGCAAATTGAAGAATTTGAAAAGAAATAAAAGGATCAGTTAAACAATTGTTAGAAAGAAAATGAAAATTTAATGATTATTTACAGAAGTTCAACACTGAAAACTTCATTAAGAGCGACTTTATTCTGAATGGGTCTAAATGCCCCCAATTTTACCCCCTGGTGGGTGCTTTACCTAGGTAACCACCTACTTCAAATCTTATTGAAAGCACTGCATTGAAGGGATATGTGGAAACTTGGACCTGAAAGTTAATTTGAATGTTTTTTGTTTAAAGGCCGCTGGTGGACTGTAGGGTATGCATTGCCCCAGACACCTCAAAGTAACTCCATGGAAGTGTCTACTTCTAAACTCCAAAACACCAAGCTGTTAGAACTGGCAAGAAAACAACGCATGAACACTGATGTCCGAAAGAATGTTTTTCTTATTATGATGACAAGTGAGGTGAATAGAAAACTTGAACTTGATTACTTTTGCACTTGTAGAAAGAGAATTTGTTTTGGTGCTTCCCTATGCTATTGTTTTGTGTTTTGTTTGTCTGTTTTGTTCTTTATGGTATGTGTTTAACAATATCCACACTTTCTGTTTGGAAGTCGTCATTATTTTATTCTATCATTATTTCTTTAAAAAAATTATCTGATATTACCACTTCAACCTTACTACAGAGAATGTTCTGCCATTTTTTCCAGGATTACATTGATGCATTTGAAAAGTTGATTCGATTGAACTTAAAAGATGTTCAAACTAGGGAAGTAATCCATGTTCTTATTGACTGCTGCATTCAGGTACATGAGTAAATCATAATTATGATGATAAGTGTTGTTTTAACCCTAGTGCCCTGGTTGTTAATTCATAATGATGTGCTTTACTCTTTCTTTTCAACTCTTGATGTTTTACAGGAGAAAATGTACAATCCTTACTATGCCTACCTTGGTCAAAAATTCTGTGAAAACAGCAGAAGTTACCAGGTACATTATCTCTTGAGGCTTTCACTCCTTTTTATGAAAAGAAGTAAGAAAATTATCAACGAAAGTTTTTAGCACAGGTGGCATTCCATTGCAGTGAACCAAATGATACTTGCCACTTTACATTTCCAGTTAAGTCTGAAAAACACCATGGACAATAGTTGGGTTTGATGATAACTCACTTTCTCCATAATCTACCTTCTAAATGTTTTGCCGCAGAAAATATCATGTCAAGCTGTGAGCAGTGGATAAGCAACAAACAGCACTTTTTTTGCTCAGTCTCATTACAGAGCACACCCCATTTAATGATCCTATTTTTGACTTCTAGCATTTTGTTTGTTCACACTTGCCTGAATCTTTACATCACTGTAGAAACTAATCAAAAAAGGAAATAACATCCTTAAATTGATTTTTATTGAAAATGGAATTGACCACAGTCAGCCAAAATTTCACTGATGTACTTGTCAACATGTGATATGGGTTGATAAAGCCACAACTTTGCTTAGCAGCCACTCACTATCTGAGATAAGGATAGGCTGTTTATAGCAACATTCACATGCCCTGAGTACATTGCAGACTTCTCAACTGCTAAGTAAGGGAGGAGACACAATCATTGTGAGAATGAGACACACGAACCTGTACTATTGGAAAGTAACCCTGTTTGACTGACAATTTTACAGTTTAATGCATTCTGTTTGTTCAATATTACAAAGTCAAATGTATTTTCAATTTTTTAATATATTTTGCATTCAAAGTATTTTTACAAACAACTACCAAAACAATACTTTTTGGTTAACATAGAAAGCTAATTTCAGTAAAGTTTCGTTTCTTTGTGATTTGAACTTTTTTTCAGGTTACTTTTCAGTACTCTTTTTGGGACAAGTTTAAACTACTAAGCAGCTTAGCACCCCATTGTCTTGAAAACCTGTTACATCTTATGTGTCACCTCTTTGCTACAAGAGCATTGTCTCTATCCATTCTCAAGGTACTCATGAGCAGCCTTCATCTTGAGCAAATTAAATCAATAGTTTTAGTGACTGATAATAATTCTCTGACTTTAATTAGTTGATGACTGTCAAAAAAACCAAACAACATGATACTTTTGTAACCTCAAGGGTAATTCTTGCCTCATGAAATAGGGCAGGTAAAGTCTTGTTCATTTAAGTCTTGTTTTTCTTCAACTCTCATTTCCACCCTATATTAATTTTAGGAACCTGAGTTTGCATAAATTTTGCCTAACCCTTTTTGACAACTGAGAAAAGAAAAAGCTCTAGTTTCAGGATGGAGATCCACCAGGCATCATAGGCATCTCCCTTCACGAACAGTGTCACTAATATTGTCCAGGTTGCAAATTTTATCCATCTGACTATGCCTTAATTTTTTGCAAGAAGAAATGAATGCCAGTTTACATCAATTTTATTTAAAACATAGTAAAAAGAGGAACTGTTTTTTACAGTTTCAAAAATGCCTGGGATTTCTGAAAAATTGAAAGGAGCTAACGTTATCATGATTTCTGTTTGATAGGTTGTCAACTTTATGGTTCTTGAGAAGACTTCTGTTCAGTTTTTCACTGATCTTTTTCATCACCTTCTCTCAACTTATTCTAAAGATGTAACAAGGTGAGATTTTTCTGTATACTTTTAGGTCTTTAACTACTAGGAGTGATTACCGGTGAGATGTACCTTGCAAACAGGTAATAAGAATATGCAAACTTTATCAGGTAGAAGTTGTTATCTTGATCTAATACCATATTCTTGCGACTAATTTACAAGGGAATGTGTAGGAGCCAGTAGGGAGAGTTATCAATCAGATCTTGGGAGTTAAAGGTTTAAGTGCTCAATGATGGATCAAAGTTAGTTAGCTTTTAAATCCTCGTTACAAGTTAGTAAATGATTATTGTGATTCCACTCCCTAGGAGTCCCTTTTTTGTAAACGTTTTCCATTGACAATACTCTTGTCAACTGTCCTGTGAAGGTACATTGCAATCAAGCATTCTGAACCTAATTCTGATTAATGTTTCCTGGCTCTACACAACATTCAGTGTTATCAAGACAGAAAGTGAACTAAGCTTTAGCTTAAGTAGGGCTGTAGATTCATACAATGGGATTGACTACTGCATCAGTATTACGTATATTGTACCCTCCCATCTTGCTTGGTATGTATTCCCTTATTTTGTATACAAGATACAATTTAGTTTACTGATGAGTACCAAAGGAAAACTTGAACATGAATTAACAGATATGAGGGATTTCATGTCACTCTATGCACTCCCTTGTATGACCTTTCCAATTGTACTGTCTTATTTCTCTCTTCACAGATATATATTTGAAAGAATCTCAATGAAGAAAGAGCTAGCATTCCTTTGTCAAAACATTCGAATTTTTCTTCAACATTTTGTGGGAGCAAAAAAATCCAGTATCTTAGAAAAACGACTTAACCTGGTGGATGGTATTCTCGGAGCTTCACACAAAACCAAACTTTAGATCTCTTTTAATTGTCATTAATATCATGAGCAATTTCACCATGATTACATAATTACAATTTACATAACTTATATTATTTCTATTATTACTGAATAAACAATTAACTTTATCTCTTGATGACTTCATTTAGGGGGTGTTTAAAAAGTAATTTCTGCTTGTTAACACACAATTTTCCTGAGGCGACAACTTTAAGGTAGAATAGGGGGAAAAATGAAATTTATACTTGTACCACAATTAGAGAGACAGAAAACTGTATTTGCAGAAGATACTAGACTCAAATGTGTACCTTATTCACATTTTCATAACAAAATTCAGACATCATTTGTAGTGCATTCTCTTACACCTGTTCCAATAGCCACTCCATCCATGTGCCAGACGTAACTAATAAATGTGGCAGAAGAGAGGTGTTTGAATCAGATTAGTTCAGCATTGTCACATAGTTGATGTTGTAAACCTCTCATGGGATCATGTGGTCTGATCATCCGGATAAGGGTAGAAGAACTGTTGAAAACAGTGGTGACTGGTGTTTCAACAACCATGGGGGATGTCATAGTAGTAAAGTGTTATAAGTCTGGTTCACGAAACTGCTTGGTCAGTTTTGTAAAGTTTCTATTAGCTGTGAGGCTCAATTTGTCAAAAGTCGTTCACAATTTATCAGTTTGTTGAGAAAAAAGTCGTGAACAGGTCATCTTTGTGGTGCCACTGGTTGTTTACGTCTGTTGAGGAAAGTCTGTTCTAATCAGCTTTTCAGAGTCAGAGTCCCAGTTACGCCAATTGGACCATTTTATCTAGTTAGACCATCTCAAGCTGTTAGATCATTTCAAGTTGTGTCGTGTAGTTACCATACCTTAATCAATTGGACCATTTTAACCAGTTAGGCCATTTAACAAGTTAGACAATCATAACAAGTTGTGTTGACTATTTTTACCAATAGCATATTAACCAGTTTTACCATTTTAACCAGCTGGATCATTTAAACCAGTTGAACTATTTTCTCTAGTTGGACCATTTCAACTGGTCGAACCTGTTTAATCAGTTGGACCCTTTTAACAAGTTAGAACATTTTAACTTGCTAGAACACTTTAACCAGTTTGGCCATTTTAACCATTTGGATCATTTATACCAGTTGAACCATTTTCTCTAGTTGGACCATTTCAACTGGTCGAACTATTTTAACCAGTTGGACCATTCTGTGAAGTTGGATCATTCTATCTAGTTAAACTATTTGAACTAGTTATACCATTCTATGAAGTTAGACCAGTTAGCCAGGTTGACCATTTTACAGATTTGACCTGTTCAATTGGTTGGATCCTTTTTAATTAGACCATTTCAACAGGTTGGACATTTTTTAGTTTGACCGTGTTAACAAGTTGAATTACTTTAACCATTTGGACTATTTCCTTTATTTACAGCATCTCTACCAGTTAGATTAGTTTATTTAGCTAGACCATTTGCAACCAGTTGGATAATTTAATGCAGCTAAATCATTTTAACTGGTTGGGACGTTTTGCTTGTTTGACCATCTTAACCTGTTGGATCATTTTAACCAGGTGGAGCACTTTTCTGGTTCTCTCCATTTTTAATAAGCTAGACCATTTTAGCTGTTTTATCCAGATAAATCGTTTTTACTGGATCGACCATTTTAACCAGTTGGACAATTTTTTTGTCTGATTAGATTATTTCTACCAGGTGGGTCAGTTTCTTTAGTTAGACTTTCTTAATCAGTGAGACCATTGAATCTTACTTGATCGTTTTAACCCATTGGACTGTTTGGACTATTTGGACCAGGTGGACCATTATGTAGCTAGAGTATTTGTACCACTTGGACCAAAATGAAAATTCTGTATTGTTAGACCGTTTTCACTTGATTACCATATGACCAAATTAAGGCCATAGTAGGACCATTGTAACACTCACTAGATGGACCAGTTCATCTAGCTAGACCCTTTTACTCAGTTGGACAATTTTACCTTGTTAGGAACATTTCTACCACTAGGAGGAACAATCCTCTGGTTTGACTATTTTAACTCATGAGATCAGTTTAACCTGTTGGATTTTCCTAACCGCTTGGATCCTCGTCACTGGTGTAACCACTCACTGGCTGGACCATTTAGATGTACTTGCAATTAGTGTCAAAAGTAGTTCACACATCATGTTTGAAGAGTCTATTCATTCGTAGGGAAACACTCCTGTTTCCACCGTACTTTAAAACATTGACAAAACCCCCTTCCCATTCAATGTTGCTTGTACATAGCTAAAAGTTCACAAGAGAATCGTGATACAGCATTTGTTTTTGGGTAAGAGGCCAAACAGGTCAAATTAACAACGGCAAAAGAGATAACATAGAAGTAATAGGTCGGAAAGGTCAATGTGTCACGAATTTTGTCGCCGATTGGCTGAATGACAATATCAAATTTTCTTGAATATGAAGTTTTAAGGAGACGTCTGTTGTAATGTTATTTCAATTACTTCATGTATACTTTCGACTAATTCATTTCTAATATGGGTACCATTTAGTACACGCTAATAAGGATCGATTCTATAGTTATCTTGTGACGTGACAGTCGAGTTGTAAGGCTCAAAACCTTTCAGCAACATTTTTTTCAGGGGACAATCCCTGCACGAGCCGGTGCACTTGTGACACAGACAAAAGTAACGGAGAGGTTTGGCCTTTTGCAATCCACTGTTCATATGATTTTAAAGAAGGTAAAAAGAAAACAAATTTGTCATGCACCACGAAAAGCTGCCTACCGACCAAGAAAGTTGAACAAGCGCCAAGAAGGACTCCTTATAAGGTACGTCACCAGTTTACATAAGGAAGATTGTAATTATTTCACAGTTACGAGACTGATAAAAAAAAAAAGACAAATTTAAATATACCACAAGTCTCTTGTGGAACCATTCAACACTTCCATCATTCAAATGGCTATCGTGACGAGTTTGCGTGACATGTTCAGATTATCACCCCGTGTATGATGAACTCCTTCGTTTCATCGTATTTCTCTCATAAATTTTCACTGAAATTTTCAAGCTTCGCTCTCGGAAAGCTGTTCGCATCTTGAAACAGGGAATGTCCGCAGCCAAATATTCGTACATATTTTCGCGCCAGATAGATTCTATTATTTATATAAACTTAATTTTTCATCGAAGCACTAAGTTTGGTTTGTTGTTTCAAAGACTTGTAGCATTATCCCAAGATAAGTCTCAGACAATCAGCATCAATATTAGTTGCCACTGCAATTACGGCGTTAAACCATTTTATGTAGTTATATCATTTTATCTAATTAGACCGCATAAATAAGTTGAACCATTTTATCTGATGAGACCATTTTATATAGTAAGACCATATTAATCAGTTGGACCTTTTTCATTTTTCCCACGCCATTTTAAGCAGTTGGACCATTTTATTTCGTTACCCAACTTTAACCTTTAAAATTTAAACCATTCCTACTGTTGGTACCTTTTTTCTAGTTAGACCATTTTGATATACTGTTTGGATCCTGTTGAACCAGTTAGACAAAATTTTTTGAATTGAATGCTTTTAACTGGTTTAACCAATGTATCCTGTTATACCACTTTAACCAATTCGACCATTTTAAACAATTAGACCATCGCCACCCATGGACCACGTTAACCGGTTGATTTTTTTCTTAAACCTCTTCGACCACTTTTCTAGTTGCACCAGAATAACCACTAGACCATTTTATTTAGTTAGAGCATTTTTAACAAACTGGCTCATTTTAGCCAATTAGTCCATTTAATAAGTTGGAACACTTTTTCCATTGAGGCCATTTTATTTAGTGGGACAATTTAATCTACTTACCCCACTATAACCAATTGGATCATTTGAACAAGTTGAAACATTTGATCCAGTTAGATTAATCGAAGCATTTCGATCATTTAATCAGTTGGACCACGCATTTTAACCCATTGACCCACTTTAACCAGCTGGGCCATTTTGTCTTGTAACGCCATTTTAAGCAGTAGAACCATTTTATCTCCTTTCCCCCCTTTTAAATGATTGAACCTTTTAAATAGGCTTAACCATTTTATCATGTTAGATCAATTTGAGCCATTTGACCAATTTATCTACGTAGATCATCATAACCAGTTGGATCTTCTTAATCGGTTGGATCCTTTTTCAGAATTTGATCATTTTCCCGGTTTGACCAGTTTTACCAGTTGGACCATCTTATGTAACTAAGCCATTTGTACCAACATGACCACTTTAAATAGTAAGACTATTTTCTCTAGTTGGAAGACTTCAATCGGTTGGACTTTTTTCCGTACCTAGACCATTTTAACCGGTTGGACCAATTTCTCTGGTTAGATCATTTTTACCAGTTCGACTAGTGTATCTAGTTAGGCCATTTTGATCGGTTGGACTTTTTCATCTGGCAATACCACTTTAACCTTCGGACCATTTAAACGGTTCGCTTACTTTAGCTATCGGCCTATTGTTCTAGAAAGACCACTTTGGGTGGTTTGACCAGTTTATATCTCTTAAGATCATCATAGGAAAAGATCGTGGCCAAGGCAAAGAGCAGCTGGGTGAAAAAGTCCTAGCGGGCAAAGGACGTTCTTGAAGGCGCTGTGTCAGGGCCGAAAATTTCTTGCTGTGAGAAATTGAAGATGGTAACGTCTCTTTGGATATAATGTGAAGACTGGCGGTGAAGCACTAGAGTGGAAACGTCATTTCAAAAAAAAAAGTGTTTAGTACCTTGGCATTCTCATAGACTGTCATCTCAATTTGAAAGAACAATTCTATCAAATTTCCAAAAAAATATCAGGGATATTGGCGTCCTATCTAAGATTAGACATTTTGTTTACATGAAAACACTAGTTCAATTATGCCATGCCATTATTCTTCCTCTTCTCTCCTATGGCTGTATATTTTAGGGCAACACTTATGACCATAACATTAAACCACTTTAAATAATACAGAGGAAAGCAATCCGTCTAATTACTTTTTCCAATTTTGATGCACATATAAGTCCTTTGTTTGCTAAGCCTAACCTTCTCAAACTTCAAGATCACATTAAGCTTCAAACTCTCTTTTTTATACATTAATTTAATACTGGCAAACTACCAGAGATCTTTGATTCGTTTTTTGTTAAAACATCTT